GGCAGCGCTGCGCCCGGCCGGCAGCCTGCATGGAGAGGCTGAGTCATTATTTTATTAGCAGGCCCCACAACTACTTTAATGTGGGCTTAGGCTGCAAAAACAAAAACATACATAAAAGCATTTGGAATTACTTCATAAAATACTAAATCACAATATTAACCGACTGACCTTTGCTCTATGCAGACCTGCTAATTTTAGCAATTACAGCCAACAACTTGAACATATCAAGTGGGCAACTGTTTAACAATAATGACATCTGCTTGGAAAATCCAATTATGTCTAAACATCTTTAAATCCCCACTAGGGGATACCTGCTTTCTTTTTGCAACTGTTAGTCTCTGCCTAATAGGATTTTAAACTCGCAGCCTGCTGCACGCTGTGGTGGCAGTGGCCCCTCTCCCTGGAGTGGCAATAACAGGACTGCCATCCCATTAAGCAGCGAGCGAGAGTCTCTCCTCGGACAGTGATGGAAGCGGTTTGGTTTTTTGACAGCCTAATCTGATAGACGGATGCATTAGCCGGATCCCTTCACTCCCCTGCCTCCCCCCGCAGATACTGCTCCCTTCTGCAGCCCCCCCCAAGGTTACAGGTGCTGCACGCAGCCAGGGCTGGTCTCCGCAGGCTGTTTCTCCGGAAGCAGCTTGCTACCAAGACGGGCTTTGCAGACACCGGTGCCTTTTGTGGGGCAACCAGAGTGGGATTTCCTCCTGCAACGTCCTCAGGGACAAACTAAATTTTTTTTCTGGGTTGACCTCTCTTTCTTTCCTCTCCACATCTCTTTCCTCTCTTCTTTCTTCCTCTATCCCCAGCTACTTAGACCCCCTCCCCGTGGCTCCCTGCTTTCTGAGTGAAACTCCAACACAGCTCTGATTCTCTCCGTAACAGGAACCCCTAAAAGACAACAGCTACGCAGTGGCTTTTGCAGCCATATTTTAGGCCTGTAGGCGTTTCTTGCGAAGAAAAGTGACGTTGGAAGTAACTGGGACCAGTGGGTAAGAGTGAGCACAACAAGACCACCCAACTCCCTATTGAAGCACCCCAATATAAACCAGGATCCTCCATCATAAAATCAAAGGTCCTTATTCGGCTCCCACTAAGGTTGTCGTAAACCCTCAAGCTTCACTGATCTGGCAACAGTCTCTGTTCCACAGTCCCATTCCTGATCACTCAGCACCCTGGGCTGCAAGGCTATTGTCAGATATTTGAATTGAGATACAAGAACAGAATATTTCTGTCCCTTCTACTCCCTCCCTTTCCCTCCCCGGCCAGCCTGGCTCTTTTCTGATGGAGCGTGCAGCAAAATCACAATCACATGTTTGCAGCAGTAGGAGGCCATTGGCATGGAAGTGGCTGTGATGTCACTACAAACATTTCCACCCTATCCCATTTCTCCAGAACAGTCTCCTTTTTTATGACCCCATCCTGAGATCTGCAGGAAATCGAATTGTCCTGATTCTATTTTGAGCGCTGGTGTCATGGCATCAATATATAATGATGTGGTGTCAAGCCGGAGAGGCTCGAGCGCTCTGCCGTGGTGTCACAGCCGGTTTGTTTTGTGCAGCTCTACGGACTGGATCACAGCCCTGCGGATGCCACGCTTGCCGAGCTGGGAACACTCGGGACACGTATGCTCTCCTAATGGGATGAGCGGCGGGGGCAGGACACAGGGCAGGTTTGGCTTTCACCCACTGGCAGCACCCACACCCTGCTAGAGGTTACCGGCTCGGGCACAACAGTTCCAGAGAGCAGAGCAAACACACGGGCACGCGATGTGCAGATCCTACAGAAAGGCATGTTGGATACCAACCAGCCCCCAGGGCTATATGTGAGGGAAGAGAAGAGCATGGTTGCGAGGTGCTTGTGCAGGGCAAGGGGAGATGCAAGCAAGGGAGAGAGAGATCTGGGGGCAGACTGACACTGCCAAGGTGCCTGGGGCAAGGAACCAAGCGGCAATCTGACCAAAACAGGGA